GTTAGGGGGCCGGGGTAGGGATTTGGACTTTATATAGGGGAAGGGTGGATTAATCTTGACCGTCAGATCAAGCATGATACACGGTTAAGATTAGTTCATTAAACCAAATGATGTCGTTTGGTTTAATGTCAGGGTCGGGCTGAGTCGGGGCAATGGGTCGGGTAAAGGTTACGGGTAAGGGATGTGGGATCTCAATCGTTGGATGGATTTGATCCAACGGTCCTTGATTAAATGTGACCAAACGTTGTCGTTTGGTTTGGTCGAATTGGATCAGACAGGGGTATTTGGATTGGGCTGTGGGGAAGTGATTTTGTTTGGGCCTGATTTTGTTTAAGATTTTGGCCCAGATCCGTTTTGCCCATTTAATTAACTCTTTTCAATTTCCAATTTTATTCCTTAAATTCCTATTTTAATTATAAAAACAAAAATTAACTTTACAAGACATTAATCACCCTTTAACAACTATTAACACATAGACAAAATATTAATCACACAGTGAAACATTTAAAATAGAATAAATGCATATTTTTGTGATTTTATTTTTTAATCAAATATTAAATGCATAATTAAATCCTAGATATGCATGAAACATGTATTTTATTTTATTTTTCATTTTAACTACAATAAAGTAAACATTTACGGTCATAATACANTATTTACGGTCATAATACAAAAAATTAACAAATGTCACACAAATTCTAAAAATTGCACACTAAGAGAAATTTGTTTTATTTTTTGATTTATTTTGGAGTTGTTTTCGTGAGGCAAAAATCACGTGCTCACAACATTCTCTGTAGCACCAGCCGTCTCTCAGGCTGGGGGAGGAGCACAGACTCTCGCTACCCACACTCTAGAGCAGATGGCTCCTTAGTTTCAGACTCCGACAGCTCAGCCAGTTGGAGTAGTTCAGCCAGCTATTGCGGCATAAGCCGCTGGTGGATCTGTCATGTCTCCTGAGGCTTTGTTGAACTTGGACAAGTTCACCAAGCTTTTCTCGGTTCATTACAGTGGGGCAGCTTTTGAGGACCCCCATGATTATCTTGACCGCTGCCATGAGGTATTGCAGAACATGGAGTAGTTGAGACCAATGGGGTCGACTTTGTTGTATTCTAGATGATAGGGTCTGCCAAGAGATGGTGGAATGATTTTGTGTTGACTAGACCAGCTGGGTCGCCTGCCTTGACTTGGGACCAGTTCTCCCAGCTATTTCTTGAGAAGTTCCTTCCTGTTACTCAGAGAGAGGACTATCGCAGACGGTTCGAGCTTTTTCAGCCCGGTTTTATGGCTGTCACTCAGTACGAGACTAGATTTGTTGATTTGGCCCGTCATGCTCTTCTTATACTTCCTACCGAGAGAGAGAAGGTGATGAGGTTTATTGTGGGAGTTGCTCAGCCTATCAGATTGCAAATGGCTAAGGAGATAGGAAGTGGGATTTCTTTCCAGGATGCGGGCAATGCGGGAGTGGTTAGGGGTCTGATAAGAGGCCTCATCATTCTGGTAGGTTCAGTGGTGCCTCATCTGGAGGCAGGGATTCTTTTGGTAGAAGCCATCCTCCCAGGCCATTTCATTTAGCAATTCAGGCTTCTCACGGTACTTCAGGTGGTCATGGCTCTCATATGCAGTATTCTGATCAGCTACCCTACAGTGCACCACCAGCTCCTATCAGTGCGCCTCCGCTCCAGAGTTTTCAGAGTGGTTACCCAGGCCGTCAGAGTCAGCAGTCTTAGAAGCCAAGGTCTTATTATACTTATGGCGATCCGAGGCACATTTCCAGGTAGGGTCCAGACAGCTAGAGGGGGAGGTCGATGTATTAGAGGTGGAGGCCAACCAATAGGAGGCCGACCTAGGGATTTAGCTCAGAGTGGTGGGGCCCAGCCCCGATGTTATGCTTTCCCAGCCAGTCCTGAGGCTGAGTCATCCGATGCTGTTATCACAGGTACTGTTTCAGTTTGCAGTAGAGATGCTTCAGTTCCATTTGATCTACGGTCTACATACTCATATGTGTCATCTTATTTTGCTACGTATTTGGTTGTGCCTCGTGATTCTTTGAGTGCTCTTGTGTATGTGTCCACACTGGTAGGTGATTCTATTGTTGTAGATTATGTCTATCACTCATCTGTGGTTATTATTAGGGGTCTTGAGACCAGCGTAGATCTCCTACTTCTCGATATGGTTATTTTGATGTTATTTTGGGGATGGATTGGCTGTCACCTTATCATGCTATATTGGACTGTCACGCCAAGACCATGACCTTATCTTTGCTGGGGTTGCCTCGCTTGGATTGGAGAGGGACTCCTGGTTATTCTACCAATAGGGTTATTTCTTATATGAAGGCTCGACGTATGGTCGAGAAGGGGTGTTTGGCTTATTTGGCTTATCTTCGTGATTCCAGTGCGGAGGTTCCTTCCATGGATTCCGTACCAGTTGTTCGTGAGTTTCCAAATGTATTTCCTGCAGACCTGCCGGGGATACCACCCGATAAGGATATTGACTTTTGCATTGATTTGACCTTGGGCACTCAGCCCATTTCTATTCCGCCATACCGAATGACCCCGCTAGAGTTGAAAGAATTGAAGGAGCAGTTGCAAGAGTTGCTTGATAAGGGCTTTATTAAGGATGTGCATAGATTATCGGCAGTTGAACAAAGTCACCATCAAGAACAAGTATCTGTTGCCAAGGATTGATGACTTATTTGATCAGTTTGAGGGTGCCAAGGTGTTTTCAAGGATTGATTTGAGGTCTAGCTACCATCAGTTGAGGATTAGGGCATCTGATGTCCCTAAGACATCTTTTCGGACTCGATATGGGCATTATGAGTTCCTAGTGATGTCATTTGGCTTGACCATCATTCATGGATTTGATGAACTGGGTGTTCAAGACCTATTTGGATTCATTTGTGATTGTTTTCATTGATGATATCTTGATCTACTCCCGAAGCCGAGAGGAGCATGAGCAGTATCCTTGGATCGTTCTTCAGACTCTGAGAGACAACCAATTATATGCAAGTTTTCGAAATGTGGAGTTCAGTTGCTTTCTTGGGTCACGTTATATCAGCGGAGGGTATTCAGGTGGATCCTAAGAATATTAAGGCAGTCAAGGACTAGCCTAGGCCCACATCAGCTACAAAGATCCATAATTTATTGGGATTGGTAGGTTACTACCACCGGTTTATGGAGGGATTTTCATCTATAGCAGCCGCGATGACCAGGTTGACCCAAAAAGGTGCCCGGTTCAGGTGATCGGACGAGTGTGAGGCAAGCTTTCAGAAGCTCAAGACAGCTTTGACTACACACCGGTGTTGGTGTTGCCCACAGGTTTAAGGCCATATACAGTATATTGTGATGCATCTTGTATTTGACTTGGTGCAGTATTGATTAGGGTGGCAATGTTATTGTATATGCTTCGCGATAGTTGAAGATTCACGAGAAGAATTATCCAGTTCATGACTTGGAGCTAGCAGCCATTGTTCACGCACTGAAGATTTGGAGGCACTATTTATATGGCGTATCGTGTGAGATGTTCATGGACCACAAGAGTTTGCGATACTTGTTCAAGCGGAAGGAACTCAATTTGAGGCAGAGGAGGTGGTTGGAGTTATTAAAAGACTATGATATCACCATCTTGTATCATCCCGGGAAGGCCAATGTGGTGGATGATGCTTTGAGTAGGAAGTCATCTAGCATGGGCAGTCTCGCGTATATTCCAGTCGGTGAGACACTGCTTGCATTAGATGTTCAGGCTTTGGCCAATCAGTTCGTGAGGTTGGATATTTCTGAGCCCAGCCGTGTTCTAGCATGTACAGTCGCTCGATCCTCCTTGTTTGAGTGTATCAGGGTGCAGTAGTACGATGATCTTCATTGCTTGTCCTTAGGGACACAGTGCAGAACGAAGATGCCAAGCAGGTCACAGTTGGAGATGATGGAGCTTTGCGAATATAGGGTCGTGTTTGTGTGCCTAATGTGGATGGACTTCGTGAGTTGATTCTGGAGGAGGCTCACCGTTCCCGATATTCCATTCATCCGGGCGCTGCTAAGATGTATCAGGACTTACGGTAGCATTATTGGTGGAGGAGGATGAAGAAGGATATTGTTGCATATGTAGCTCAGTGTTTGAATTTGTCAGCAAGTAAAGTACGAGCATCAGAGACCTAGTGGTTTGCTTTAGAAGATTGAGACCTGAGTGGAAGTGGGAGCGTATCACCATGGACTTCGTTGTTGGAATCCCACGGACTCAGAGGAAGTTCAATGCAGTATGGGTTATTGTGGATAGGCTGACTAAGTCATCACATTTCATTCCTGTGGAAATTTCCTACTCTTTGGAGCGATTGGCAGAGATTTATATCCGTGAGATCATTCGTCTTCATGGTGTGCCCATGTCTATCATTTCTGACTGAGTTACATAGTTTACCTCGCATTTCTGGAGGGTAGTACAACGTGAGTTGGGTACGCGAGTCGAGTTGAGCACAACATTTCATCCTCAGAGGGACGGACAGTCCGAACGTACTATTCAGATTTTGGAGGATATGTTCTGTGCCTGTGTTATTGACTTTGGAGGATCTTGGGATCAGTTCTTGCCTTTAGCGGAGTTTGCCTACAACAACAGTTATCAGTTGAGCATCCAGATGGCTCCCTATGAGGCGTTATATGGTAGACGGTGTCGATCGCCGGTTGGATGGTTTGAGCCGAGAGAGGCTCGGTTATTGGGTACATATGTAGTGCAGGATGCCTTGGATAAGGTTAAGATCATTTAGGATAGACTACGTACAGCTCAGTCCAGGCAGAAGAGTTATGCCGACCTTAAGGTTCACGATGTGGCGTTCATGGTCGGAGAGAGAGTGTTGCTTTAGGTGTCACCCATGAAGGGTGTGATGCGGTTTGGGAAAAAGGTCAAGTTAAGCCATAGGTTCATTGGGCCTTTCGAGATTCTTCGGAGAGTGGGTAAGGTGGCTTATGAGCTTGCGTTGCCACCAGGTTTTTCAGCAGTGTATCCAGTGTTTCATGTGTCCATGCTTCGGAAGTATCACAGCGATCCATCCCACGTGTTATATTTCAGCACAGTCCAGCTGGACAAAGATTTGACCTACGAGGAGGAGCCAGTAGCTATTATAGACCGACTGGTTTGTCAGTTGAGATCGAAGAGTTATCATTCGGTTCGTGTGCAGTGGAGAGGTCAGCCTGTTGAGGCAGCTACCTGGTAGTCCAAGTCCGATATGCGGAGCAGATATCCCCATCTTTTCTCTAACTCAGGTACTTTTCTATGTCCGTTCGAGGACGAACGATTGTTTTAAAGGTGGAGAATGTGATGACCCAAAAGGTCATCTCGTGTTTTAGAACCCAATTCGGGGTTCTTATTCCTTCAAAACCTGATCTTACTTCTCCTCAATTTGCGTGCGCAGTCCGACCGCGTTTCCGGAAAGTCCTTATGTGAAAATTTGAGAAAATAATGATATTTGCCTTTAAAAGTGTTTTTAGTTGACTTCGATCAATATTTTGAGTAAACGAATCCAGACCCGTGTTTTGACAGTCCCGGAGGGTCCGTAGTAAAATATGGAACTTGGGCGTATGCCCGGAATCGAATTCTGAGGTCCATAGTGCGAGAAATAAATTTTGACAAAATTTGTTAAACTGAAATTGTAATGGTTTTAAGAAAATGGTTAATAGTTGATCTTGTTGGTATTAGGTCCGTATTTTGGTTCCGGAGCCCAGTATAGGTCCGTTATGATATTTATACCCTATTTGTGAAATTTGGCAAGAAACGAGACTGATTTGATGTGATTCAGACCTTTGGTTTAGAAAATAGAACTTTTGAACTTTCTTAAAATTTTCATGCAATTTGATGCTAAATTAGTAGTTCTAGGTGTTATTTTGGCGATTTGATCGCGCGAGCAAAGTTCGTATGATGTTTTAAGACTTGTGTGCATTTTTGGTTTGGAGCCCCGAGAGCTCAGGTAAGTTTTGAATAGGCTACGGAGTGCTTTGGACTTAAGGAATTTTGCTGGCATGCTTCAGGTCTGTAAATGCGAGCATCACATTTCCGAAGATGTTTCACATCTACGATCAGAAGGGCTGGGAGGGGACCTTCGCAATTGCGAAGCTCAGGATCGCAATTACAATAAGAACATGCCGCATTTGCGAACATCTGTTCGCTTTTGCGATGATAGCAGGCCAGGCCATTCTTCGCATTTGCGAAGTAATGTCCGCATTTGTGAGTTCGCATTTGCGAACCCCTAATCGCAAATGCGATACTTGCAACTATTCAAAAATGATTTTGGACGGGATTTTTCATTCATTCTCCCATTTTTCAAAACCGATACTTCAATAGGCGATTTTCCAAAGGTTAGTTCTTCCCCAAATCATAGGTAAATGATTCTTAACTCATTTCTTTCAATCTTTTACTTCTTTTTAAAAGATTTCAACCTAGAATCTAGGATTTTCATGGTGGAATTGGGGATTATTGTGTAGAATTAGGAAGTTTTGTACAATTGAAATTTAGACCTCGATTTGGGATCAGATTCCGAAACTAATTACATATTTGGGCTCATGGGTGAATGGTTGAATGGGTTTTGGTCCGAACCTCGAGTTTTGACCAAGCGGTTCCGGGGTCGATTTTGGAATTTTTGGGGAAAATGTTAGGAAACCTATAATTATGTATTGAAATTGATTTATTTAGTAATAACTGATATCGTTAAATTAATTATGACTAGATACGAGTGGTTCGAAGGTTGAAACTAAGGGAAAATTAGTGTTTGAGGCTTGAGTTTGGCCGTGGAATCGAGGTAAGTATCGTGGCTAACCTTAGCTTGAGGGATCATGTATTGTTGCCTTATTTGCTATGTGTTTGGTTATTGAGTGCGACGTATATGTGAGGTGACGAGTACCTATACGTTGTTGTTGGGTCATAGCATGCGAGAGAGTCTTATCCTTGTGACTGTTGTATTCTTTATTCGTACTGTTCATACTTAATCTGGGTATTCTTCATGTTAAACAAACCTTATCATTTTTCCTGGAATTTAATATTGGTTGAGTATTGACCCAAGTTGAGATTTATATGGTGAAGTTAAATATTGAAACGAGGTTGGTTATTGATAACTCCCTTGCCGGGTTGTTATTGTTCTGTTGTTTGAGTGAGGAAAAGTGTAAAGCACGAAGGGCGATGCAATACAATATTTTGTGAGTGAGTATTAATGCACGAAGGGTGATGTCGTGCCATATTCTGTGAGTGTTAATGCACGGAGGGTGATTCCGTGCCATATTCTGAGAGTGTTAATGCTCGAAGGGTGATGCTGTGCCGTATTATGAGAGAGTTAATGCACGAAGGGTGATGCCGTGCCGTTTCTATTGTTTTCTTATGGTAAGGACGATAGTAAAAGCACGAAGGGTGATGTCGTACACATGTCATCCATGTTATTACTTCTGTTGGTGTAAAGCATGATATTTACTGCGCTTCTTTACTGTACTATTTTCAGGACTTGATATTTCCCCTCAGCATGTTTTCCCACTTCCCATTATTATCTGTTAAATTTTTGTTTGTTTTTATTTTCTGGTATATGATTTAACTACACAAGTTCATGTTATTGTCGGGTCCTAGCCTCGTCACTACTTCGCCGAGGTTAGGCTCGGCACTTACCAGTACATGGGGTCGATTGTATTGATACTGCACTCTGCACTTTCTATGCAGATTTTGGTACCGGACCTCGTTGATTAGAATTGGGTTGTTGCCTTCAGTCCATCAGGAGACCCAAGGTAGATCTGCCGACGTTCATAGACCCTGGAGTCCCCTTCCATTTATCTTAGTTTTCCTATTTTCTTTCATTTCGAGAATAGATGTATTTTCTTTAAAACAATATTTGTAGTAACTCTTAGAAGTTTGTGGATTTTGACATCAGATTTTGGGTAGTCGTGTAATAGTGTTTGGTCTATTATAAATTTCCACACTTCTTATTTTGTTTTGGTTTAGATTATTGTTATTTACTATTTGAATAGTGATTAGCGTATTGGATCTTTATTTGTTGGCGTGCCTAGCATTCTAAAAGTTAGAAGCCTTCACGATCCTGATGGTGGGAAAATTCGGGTCGTGACATCACATGAATATTTTAAATAATCTTGGCATGAGTTTAGAACACAGGGAAATGTATGAAGAGTGAATATGTTGGGTTCTAAGCGTTGATATAAACCATTGTCATTGGTGATGCTTGAGTATGTTTTGAAAAGTATTGTTTGCCTATGCGCTTAATTTTAAGTTGCTCGAGGACGAGCAAGAGTTTAAGTTTGGGGCGGTGATAGATGATGAAAAGTGCATATCTTTTAGTATATTTGCATATTAATTCTTATGTGAGTCGTGGGATATTACACGGTTTCTGAAGTGAAATATGCTTATTATGTGTTTCTTATGTGTAGGAACGAGTTTGGATGATATATGATCAAAATATGACAATTTGACAAAAAAGAAAGAGATGGAAAGAGAGAGATAAAAATAAACATTATAATCTTTATAATTAGGAAATTATTTGGATTTGTGTTTCTTAGCGATATTGAACAACTGCAGCTAAGCCTTAGTTCTCTATGGGATTCGACTCCAGACTTGTAAACCGGATTATATTTGCAACGACCGCTTAGTCCTTTTTATAAGGCCTAGAATTGGGCGTGATCAAAGAACCTTCGGCAACTACTTTGAGAACCTGGTTTTTAGTACACATTCATCAGCTACCTTGAAGACCTAGTTCTCAGTACACGTTTACTGGACACACTTTGTTAATCATCAAAACCCCAATTCTCAACAATGCAGTGGAAAGAGGATATTTTGGCCAAGAAGTAACTATCTCGTTAACAGATCTAGTTTCTGCACCGTTTTAATTAGAATCTAGCAACTCACATGTTGATGTTGTACTCAAACAATGCAATTCTTGCCCACTTCATGTGTCTTAATATAACTATTCTTAATCCGTGACTTTCCTTCTCCAACTCTCTAAATTCAGATAAAAAAATTCTCACATTAATTGCTTACACATATCCCAAGAATTCATCTCCATCACACTACTCTACATATCTGACTACGCGACGTGGGTTTGACATTTAAGTCACTTTATATGTCTACATTAGATTCAAATCAAGCAAATTACCCAAGTATAAATATGCTCATTAATTTGCAAGTTCATACAACATTAAGCTCATCACGTTGATCAAAACAATATGGCCAACTTTAGAACATTTCTTTTGGCCCTAGTCTTCTTTTCTTTCATATCCTTATTTCTGCCTTGTTGCTCAGCCTACAATGTGGTGAATTATGGAGCTAGGGGCGACGGGAGGACGGACTCGACCACAGCGTTTCTTCGTGCCTGGTCGTCCGCCTGCAGCTCCACTAGCCCAGCTAATGTTTATGTTCCTCGTGGAACGTTTTTGATAAGAACAGTGACTTTCACCGGCCCTTGCCGGAGCAGAATTGAGTTCCGAGTAGATGGAACTCTTGTTGCTCCGGCAGATTATAACGCCATTGGCCATTCTGGGTTCTGGATTTTGTTTTATAAAGTTAGTAGGCTTTCTGTTTATGGTGGAACCATTAATGCCCAAGGAAGTGCTTTTTGGTCGTGTCGTAAAGCTGGCCGTTCCTGCCCCCAGGGAGCAAAGGTACGTTTATGTTTCTGGAAACACGTAAATATAGATAGTACAAATTAACTTATTATTTAAAGGCTCTTGTCTAATTTTGGTATACCTTAAAATGAAATAAAAAAACGTAAATCTCTACTTTTAACCTTATATTATCATTGCATGGATTAATGTTGAATGGTCATTTTGTAGCATAAATATGAATATACTCATTACAAGTTATCGGTTTTTGAGTAACAAGAGAATTTAAAAGTATTTTTTTTCTTCTGAACACGTGTAAATTCGGAGTATGGTCGGGACTCTTTACTCCCGGAAGCATAGTTTAATTTATGCATCTGAACTTGAAATTATCATCAATGCATGCAAAGTGGAGACCCTAACGGATAAAATTTCTTCTATCATGTTTTAAAAAATGCAATATGATAACAACTTTCACATTACTCTACAATATGTTCTAAACTTTTGAATTAATGAATGAATGCAGTCAATCTCATTCTTTTGGTGCGATGATGTACTGGTAAGTGGATTAACATCAGTGAATAGTCAAACAAAGCATGTGGGTATTGATTATAGCAGCCGTATTAGAGTTGAGAATTTGAAAATAAGAGCTCCAAGTAGAAGCCCAAACACTGATGGAATTCATATAGAGAATTCAAGAGGAGTTACCATCACAGGCAGCACCATCAAGACCGGAGATGACTGTATTTCCATTGGCCCTGGCTCCATGAACTTGTGGATTCAAGAAATTGGATGTGGCCCAGGACACGGCATCAGGTCAAATTAATTAAATGATTACTTTCACATTACTGTTCAATTTTTCTTTTGGCTGTCTTAATATGCTCAATATATACTTTATCCCATTTTCCTACTCTCTCCCTCCAAGCATCATGTGGCAACAAGTGTGCATCAAGGGGAAAAGAATAATAAGAGGACCAACAAACTAAAATGGCGCAAAGTCAGGTGGTACTACATATATGATTTAAGTCATTTTAAAGTTGCCAATTTAAGTTATATTAGTCTATTAAATTCTATCATATTATTATGTGATTAACTCATCTACAACATCAAATTATTAGATAAGAGACATAATTATTTGTCTATTTAAAGTGTACGATACTTTTTCTCGCGTTAGAATCTGATTCTTTTTATTGGACAAGAATAGGGGTGGCAAACGAGCGGGTCAGGTCATATATAAGCGGGTCAGACGGTTAATTTAAAAAAAACAACATAAATTATCCGACCCGACCCGTATTTGAGACGGATAAAAACGGATTTATCCGGCGGATAATATGGATATCCATATTATCCATGGCTTCTTAAATATGATCACTTATGACAGAAATTCTAGTCTTCCAAGCTTAAGGAACTCCAATTTAAGGCTTTACAAATGTAAAAGTTAAACACATTAGTTATCCATTTTCTAAGTGAATAATATGGTTCTTTATCCATATTCGACCCGTTTTTAAATGGTTCATTATCCAACCCATTTTTTGATAGATAATATGGGTGAATAACTGTTTTCTTTTAACCATTTTGCCACCTCTAGACAAGAATATATGTTTGTGAGACTTGACTTGACTAGAATCTCTACTTGGCCTTGTACCATGTTGAATTATGCGGACACTTCATTTAAAAGTTAAACTATTAGAGATAAGCAAAACACATTCAGTTATATTTACATTCAATTTTAATAATACAATTACTCAAATATGACGTCTTTGTGATAGTCCAATTATAAAATTACTTTGTGCTGAATATCATCATCTTTATAGTTTGTTTTACTCTTGCAGCATCGGAAGTTTGGGGAGCAGTAATAATGAAGCTGGAGTTGTGAATATAACAGTAACAAATTCGGTTTTCACAAAGACACAGAATGGTGTTAGAGTAAAGTCATGGGCAAGACCAAGTGGTACCTATGCTAAGAATCTCATGTTCAGAAATCTTATAATGAGGAATGTTGGGTACCCCATAATCATTGACCAAAACTATTGCCCTGATAATAGTTGCCCTCATCAGGTATATCATAAATTTATCTCCCACAAAATCATCTACTTTTCTTTTGACCACAATAAGAAGACCAAGTGTAATAACGCTAACACGGTATATGTAAAATTTATAAGGATAATTGCACCTTTCATTCCTCAGTTATTGGTAAATTTTGATTTTAGTCCTTGTGATGCTTCACTAAGCATATTTAACCTTGATCTGATTAAGATTTTGCTTTGATCCCTTTAAATTTGTTGTATTTAAATTATTTTTAGAGCTATATTATCCTGAAATATGGAGTAAGAATACACATTTAACATAATTAATGGGTTGTTAAAATAGTTTTAACAGTTAACAATTCCTCAAATTTATAATTATTCACAACCAAAAGGATGAAATTTCATATTTCAGTTAATTGAAGGTTAAATATGCTTAACAAAATTTCACAAGGATTAAAATCAAAATTTGTTGATATTTGAGGGACTAAAAGTGCAAATTTTCCAAATTTATATTACATAAATTGATAGTGACATCATTCTAATTTATCTAAATAAAAAGCACCATAAAAGAATAGCTAACATTACAACTGTCATTTATATATAAATAAACTTAAGTACTGATCTAACAGTTACTGTTTGATGTGACATGAATATAGAATTCAGGAGTAAAGGTGAGTCAAGTAACATACAAGAATGTGAAAGGAACATCGTCCACACAAGTAGCCTTGAAATTTGATTGCAGTTACACAAATCCATGCACCGGAATCAAACTGCAAGACATAAAGCTTACTCACAATGATCGCCTAAGAAGACCAGCAATATCGTACTGTAGAAATGCAAGGGGAAGACATAGCGGCACAGTCATTCCCAAGGGTTGCTTCTGAAAGAATGAAGAAAAAAAAAAGCAGAAAATGATTCGTAATTGTTAAAATTAATATGTTGTACCTTGTATTAATTAAAAGTATCTGGATTTTCTTTAAAGGATTTAGTCAAGTTATTATTTTATCTAGAGTATCCTAGGGGCCTCTGGAAAAATTAGTTTTGGGGAAGCGAAAGAATCTCCATTGTATATTGTGTTGAACAAGAGAATGATAAGAAGATAAAATACAAATATACATGTTGTTATAACAATATAGCAGCTCATTCATAGAATTTTGACATTCATGATCTGTCGTTATATATCTATTAATGGCCCCCAGTATTGTCATTTAAGAGGGGCTTGATCCTAAGACCTTGTTCCCTAGGTATAGCTATAAATAGTGGCTTCAACAACTATTGTAACATAGGAAAATTCTGACAAACTTATGCTACACACTATTCCCAAGCTAAATAACAATTTATTTTTTGTCTAACGTTATTCTTATTGCTGTCTTCAGAAGTCTTGCTCCCGGAACCAAGCTATCTGCTATTTATCTCGATTTCAATGCTAAGTCTTGCATTTTATTTAATTCATTTATCATTTTGGAGTCAAATCGATTCGCTTGTCTATAAACCACGCTAAAAATTCAACTGTAATATTTTACGGGTAAACAATTTGGTGCCCACCGTGGGGCTTAGACAATTGCGTAATTGTGTTGATCCTTGCATTTATTACTAACATATTTGATTCTTTGTTTCGTAGCAAAAAAAAAATGGTAGTTAATGATGTCAACATCACATACAACATTGAGGCGCAAGAGAATCTACCTCAACACGAGGATTCGATCAGTGACACTAGCAACGAGGAGGACGTAGCAACTCCCGTCCATAACGGGCATTATCCTCGACATGAGCGGGAGACAACTCCTGATGGCGCTGAGGACGAGCATATTTCAGAGACAGTAAGGATCTAGAGGAAGAAGCAAAAGGTCATCATGGGTCATCTCTCAAGGCAAGACCAGGCCATGAAGGAACTGAAGCATGCATTGTCAGGCGCCTCCAACAATGTGAATGGAAGAGGCCCTATTCCTTCCGGTGCTCCCGCAAATCAAATAGTTCAAAGGGTTGATAACAACACCTGAGGGGAGAAGTTGGCTTCAACGGAACCGGGGAGATTGGCAATGGGTCCGGTAACAACGACGATAATGATCCCTTCAAGACCGAACTCATGAGATTGATGAGAGAAATGAACTAGCAGATGGATCAGAACGCGAAAGAGTTCCATGCTTGAATGGACCAAATTTCGGGCACACCACTAGTGTTAAAGGGCCCGGACTCAAAAAAGTAGACCCAACTGCCAATCAAACCAAGCGCAACACCAGAGTTGATTCCGAATCGGTTTAAGATGCCAGACATACCGAAGTATGATGGGATTTCAGACCCTCAGGAGCACATCATAACTTATATAACAACGACAAAAGGAAATGGCTTGGCTCAATATGAAATTGAGTCTGTCCTATCGAAGAAATTCAGAGAAACCCTCACGAGGGGGGACTTGACATGGTATTCACTCCTACCCGCACAATCGATCGATTTCTTTGAAATGCTCGTAGATTCTTTTATCAATGCTCATGCCGGGGACATGAAGGTCCAGGCCGGGAAGGCGGACATATTAAGAATTTTGCAAGGAGTGTCCGAATTGCTTTGCGAGTTCATGATCAGATTCCAGAAAGAAAAGATGTTGTCACCGGCCGTGCCAGATGAATGGGCGGCTGAGGCATTTACTAAGGAGTTGAACCCGAGAAGCTCTCACTACTAAAAAATTAGGTTTTAGCGACGGACAAATTCTGTATCTGAACAGAAAAATTCATCGCTAATATCATTTAGCTATGGATTAGCAACAAATTATCAAAAATTTCTTCTGACTATGAGCCTTTTAGCGACAGATTAACGACGACGTTGTTTAACCAAAAAATAGAATTTTAGTCAAAGCTAGAATTTAGAAGAATGCGGGTTACTGGTAATCAAAAGAATATGTAGAAGAGAATAATTTGGAGTAACCAGAATATAATCAGGAGAAAAACAAGTGAATCAGAGTATATTTCAATTGTGTCTGTCCTTACAAGTGACTAGATACCTCCCTTTTATAGGTATCTTGAAGGTATGCGTTTCCTTCAAATCATAATGAGGCTATTATGAATAATTAAAGACATTAAATGTTACGTTACACAATCATTGTAATCAATACAAATTCTCTAACATATCCAGTATTTAATGCCTATCAAATTCCGTATCTGCGCTCTTTATTATGGTTAGATCCGTTCCTTTTGATAAATGATCTAAATAGGTATGGGCACTGAATCCTTCAAATGTCCTCTCGTGCCTCTTCCTTTGCCTTTTCTCATTTCTATTGCTGCTCATGACTCTTGACTAATTATAATTCTTTGACTATTTGATCAGTCCACGTGTCTCAACATATATAAATTCAATTTTTCCCAATACAGAAGTTTGTAGCTAATTCCAGTTTTTTAGTAGTGCCTGACGCTTCCCAAAAGCTGAAAGAAAGCTTGCTCGAGTTCCAAGAAACCACATGGGCGGATGTCCATAACTGCTACGAATCAAAGATAAGGATATAAGATGATCAACTCGGGTTCCCAACATCAACCAAAGGTTGGGATCGAGAAAAGAACAGGGATAAATCAAAAGATGATTTTGATGCAGATCGACGGTTTTTTAAGGGTCATTTTTTGCCTTACGAGAGGGCTGAAGGACGCAACAACAAGGGATTCCGGTCGATGGATAGGTTCGCCCCTGATAGAAGGGTTAATTAACTGTGGTCGAAACAATAAGTCATTACGGGACAAAGCGGTATCTAGTTCCCGGGATTCCACTTATCCCAGGTTGTTCGAATATAATATCAATGTCAGCGTATTGGAGCTGGTATCGGCGATGAGGAACATCAAGGAAGCACGGTTCCCAAGGTCGATATCCAAACCAATGGGATCCTAATTTATGATGCAAATACCTTGGGACTAATGGCCACTGAACTGGGGACTGCTGACATCTACGCGAGGAGGTGGCAACACTATTAAGAACGGACATATCAGGGAATTTATAAGCGACCAGGCTAAGAACATTTAAGGTCGAAATCGAGATAATGTAGAGCCGTCAAAGATAGGGTAAGACCCTCATAAACTAACTATTAACGTGATTTTCAAGGTGGTGTAACCTTCTAGGTGGTGAAAAAGATAAAGGTATCAGTAACTCATAGCAAGAGACTCCGAAAAGTCTCCGAAGACAACATCACCTTCACGGAAGAAGACACAGATTGACTCCTTCTATCGCACAATGATGCCCTGGTAATTTCTCGTAATGTTTTAGATTTCATGATTAAATGTGTTCTGGTTGACTCAGAAAATTCAACCAACATCATTCAATGGAGAATGCTGGAACAACCCAAGCTAACTAGAAACATCATTCCGGCAACAAAACTCCTCGCCAGGTTCAACTTAGCAAGTGTGATGGCCCGGGGGGAGCTCTTGCTGCCTACGAATGCCGAAGGGTTCACGAAGACCACTCTTTTTGAAGTGGTGAATGGCGACATGGGCTACAACATAATCCGCGGTAAGCCATGGTTGCATGAGATGAAAGTCATGCCATCAACATATCACCAAATGCTAAAATTACCAACTCTAGAGGGAATCAAATAAATAAGAGGGGATCAATCGGCAGCAAGGGAATTAATGCGGTATTGATTTCCTAGAGCAAAGGGAAGGAACTCAATACATAGAAATTAAAGGAACCGACGACTGCTCCCGAACCGAGTAAAGATGCAAAGGG